TGTCAGCAAGTCGTTCCCTGAATCCCTGCTACGCTGAATTCTAGGGAATGGAGAAATCAGCACTGATATGTGGCTGGCTGCAAAAATGGCCGTGTGGCCCGCCTAATGTGTGCGGCGGCTGATAGGCGTCACATGGGACGCGCCGCGTGTATGGCTGGGTTGGGTTGCAGGGAGGGGAGGTACATGCGGACGAGCATGTTGAAGCAAAGAATACCTGGAGGTGTCACGCTGACCTTGAATTTTTTGCGATATATTCGGTCGTCTGCGAACTCTGGCGTCTGGACGAAATAAACTAGTTTTCCTCGGATTCATTTCGTGAGGCGATGCTGGCTTGCAATCGTGTCATACGGGTAACTTACTGCTTCGGGAACGTGAGCTTTGTCCTCCCACCCACTGTTGGCGGGGCCCTGGACAGGTTGCAGGAACTGCCCACACTCGCGAATGTAGCTGGCGAAACAAGCGTTCGCTACATCGGGTTTGTTGGCGAACAGTCCCACAAGATGGAGCACTCCCGTCAGGTGGGCTGGTGACCACTGGTCCCGCGAGCCACACTCGCCAACCATTGCCCACACTCTACACCAGCTAGCGGGAGATGTCAGGTGGGGGAGACGGACATGTTCCTAAAGCTCACAACTCATTTAGGGCGTGTAAGGTCGTGCACCATTTGAGAAATTTGCAAATGGCTGGAAATCCGACGACTTTTTGGTCTTTATTTCTTTCGCGAACGACAGCTTGGTCGACCTTTGGTCGCCCACCAAAACGGCCTGTACTTGCCATTTTGCAGACTTGACATATTTCCAGGCCTATTTGAGGGCCGCATGAACAAACATGTCAAATTTGCACCCTCGCACAAACTAGCCACTTTGCGACCCAGTCGCACATGGACTCCAGTAGTGGCACAACCACTCGTTCTATCGCAGGGCGCTTTGTGCGACGATGGGCACATCTGTCGCACTGACTAGTCGGCTTCTGAGAAGAAACGAGAATGAATTAACTATGAATGAATTGGGTACAAGTACTAACCCTAATTGGATTGTACCCCTTATGGGCTACCCCACTACAGCCTACACAATATGCATGAGCTATAATGTTCTGACACACCCCCATAGGCAAAGTGAGGGAGAACAACGGGTCACAAGACCAGTCAAGCACAGCAAAGCAAAGCAAGCTCAGGGTGGATCACAAAGTCACCACACATTTCGAGCACAAGTTCAAGGCCACAAGGCCAGTTCATATGCAGGAGTACATATATATAAAAAGGCTAGACAAGCAAGTGCAGGTATATATATATGTAACAGTACAAGCAAGGTCAAGAGGTGAGCAAGTGAGGTAAGGTAGGCACAAGGCCCAGCTGAGTACAGAAGCGCTGATGGTCACAAGGCGCAAGCGCCTTGGTGAAGATATCAGCAGCGTTGGCCTCAGAGGCCACGTACGCAAGACGCAGCTGACCACACTACTGCAGCTCACGAGCAAGAAAGTAGCGGAGAGCAATATGCTTCGTTCTGTGCTCCAGTTGCTGCTCCCGACACAAGGCCAGCATGGCCTTGTTGTCTACGTACAGCACTGGAGGAGAACGAGGCGGCTCTCCGAGGTCACTCAGCAGGTAGGTGAGCCGGCGAAGCTCCTGTGCAGCCATGGCTCCTGCGTAGATCTCAGCCTCACAACTGGAGCCGAGAACAGAAGACGAGCGAGTAGCCCGCCACGAAACAGAGCCGGAGCCAAGGCTGAAGGTGTAACCCTGTGACGACCGCTGCGTAGCCTGGTTGTCAGCCCAAGAAGCGTCTGCGTGCCCAGTAAGGACCACTGGACTCTGCCCTCCAAGCACAAGCCCAATGCCCGACGTACTACACAAGTAGCGCAACACCCTCTTCGCTGCAGCCATGTGCTCCGGTCTGTGTCTCCCAGGAGCAACATAGCGTGCAAGAATGCTAAGAGGGTATGCAAGGTCAGGTCGTGTGCAGGTCATCAGGTACATGAGGCACCCAACAAGCTCTGGGTACGGGCCACTCAACTCTACGGACTCATCCGAAGGCAGAGCTGAGAGCGAGTGGCGAGTAGGCAGAGGAGTGGCCTGAGGCGAGGAGTACGTGAAGCCGAAGCGCTGAAGGACCTGCTGCACCATGTGTGACTAAGTCAGGGTAATGGTGCGGCGTGCTCTGCCCGGAGTGATCTGCAAGCCAAGGTAGCTACACAGTTCACCCAGGTCAGTGCACGTGTGTCTCTTCTGCAGCTCGGACTTCACGTAGGCGAGTCCAGCAGTGTCAGCTGTGGCAAAGACCAAGTCGTTGACGTACACGAGGATGTAGAACGGCGGCAAAGAAGTGTCGGTGCGCAGAAACAGCGACGGGTCAGCAGTAGAGGGAGCAAACCCAAGAGCCGCAAGTGTAGTCCTCAATGTGTCGTGCCACTGACGCGGTGCCTGGCGAAGACCGTAGACTGGCCGCCGGAGGCTCCACTGGGTGCTAAGAGGAAAAGTCCCAGTGAAACCAGGTGGGCGACGCACCCAGATCTCTTCGTGCAGGCTGCCCTGCAAGAAAGCAGTGCTGAAGTCAAGAGAATGTAGCTCGTAGTCACGGTGAGCAGCTATGTGCACCAGTACCCAAAGAGTGGTCATCTTCGGGGTGGGAGAGAAGGTCTGAAAGTAGTCAACTCCCTGCCGCTGACTGAAGCCACGAGCCACGTAACGCGCCTTGAAGACAGGCGGAGAACCCGGCGGTCGCTTCACCCTGAAAATCCACATGCCACTGACGATGTTCGCCCCAGGAGGGGGAATAGCGTCAACGTAGGTGCCTCTGGACTTCCAGGAAGCCATCTCTGCGTCCATAGCTGCCTGCCACTGAGAGGAGTAGGGACCCTCTATCGCCTCCGCGTAAGAGCGCGGAGTCGGGATGTCAAGTGCATCCGGGTCACCCTCAGGGGTATGCAGTACGGACACGAGATGAGGTGAAGCAGCGGCCAAGCACTAGAACTCCTCCTGCCTGTCCTCAAGGACGTCCGTGCTAAGGGCATACTCACCCCCGACGGACGGAGGACAGACACACTCAGACTCAGAAACAAGACTAGCGGCGTAGTCTAGGCGACAGCGAGCAGCAAAGTCAACGAGCTCAGCAACTAGGGCAGGCGCAGCAGTGGACTCAAAGGAAGGGTCAGTGACAACAGTAGCAAGGAGACGCGTGACAGTAGGACTGGCAGCACGAAGAGAGTCCGACTCCGGGTCGGCAAGAGCAAAAAGAGAAGACTCAAGAGGAGAAGGCAAGGGGCACGCAGAGGAGCAGTGGACGGACGCAAAGACATCCGGTGCGTGCCAGGGACAGGAGGAGGACGCTGACTCGAACTGCGACCACTAGTGCGAGCAGCACGGACAGGCGACGCAGGGCGAGACGCAAGCTCACGACGCTCAGCAAGACCTCCATTAGGACCAGTGTAGGGAGACGGAGCAGTCAGTGGGGAGGCCAGCTGTAACTGTAACTGCGACGGGACAGGCTGTGGACACTCGAAGGGAGGAGGAGGACCAGTAGAAGACGGGAGACCAAGAACCTGCTGAAGGAGCGGAACGAAGTACGGCCGAGGCCGCGCGGCGACTCCAGACACAGCAAGGACAGCACCAACACCACCAGTGGCAGCACCAGCACCACTAGCAGCTCCAGCTCCAGTACCCCCAGCAGCACTAGTACCCCCAGCAAGACCGCCTCCAGGACCGACAGCAGTAGCCTCCGCGCCAACACCCGCAGCAGCTCCAGCTCCAGAAATACATGCAGGTGCAGCAGCTCCAGTACTCCTAGTAGGAGCACCTCCGGGACCCGTGGCACCAGCTCCCTTAGCAGCAACAGAACCTCCAGTACCCGCAGCACCTCCAGCTCCAGCAGCTCGCCTCCAGCGCCGGGCAAACCACTCGCGCAGCTCCTGTGGAGAGAGTGGCTCCCGGCGAGAAGAAGCACTCGGAGAACCGACACGCACAGCACCAGCAGGCCCAGCTCCCTCATGCTCTGCAACCCCAGGCTCAGCACCTCCAGGCGTAGCACCCCCAGGCTGAGCACCCCCAGGCTCAGCACCTTCAAGCGTAGCACCCCCAGGCTCAGCACCCCCAGACTCAGCACCCCCAGGCTCAGCACCCCCAGTCGTAGTACCCTCAGGCTCAGCACCCCCAGGCGTAGCACCCACACGCTCAGCACCCCCAGAGTCAGCACCCCCAGGCTCAGCACCCTCAGCAGCACCAGAGTCACTAGCGATCTCGACAAGCTCAACAGCGTCTACCTGGGACACACCTGAAGGGGCAGGATCCTGAGGGGGGAGGGGGTCTACCGGGGAGGGACCTGGTACAAGGAAGAGCGGTGGCGGGGGGAGGGACGTAGTGCGGTAGGGGAAGAGGCGGTAGTAGAGGAAGACCAAAGACAAGGACACGGGAGGCCATGCTTCGGAGACGAAGTAGGGAGGGGTGACCAAGGCGGTGGTGCCAGAGGAGAGTCTCGTGAGACAGGAGGCGACATGAGTAGGGGGCAGACTCAGGATTAGACCTGGACGCTGCAGCTAACACCTGACCCGACGCAGCTACCTGACCAGACGCAGGGACTTGAGTAGACGCTGTGGTCATTGTGTACAGGCTCGATCCCGACCGACGTGTAAACGTGGCCAGGTGTCGGCCTGTCCGAGCGTCTGTGCAGTGGGTCACCCGCTGACTCGCAAGAGTGAACTGGTGAACCCCCACATCCTGTAGGTCAGCACCACTCACCAAGTTTGTAGAGAACGAGGGGAGGTAAAGACCAGATAGGGTGCCAGAGGGGGCCGCCAGACAAGGGAGGACAGTGGAGAAGTGAGCAAGGACAGGACCCCCAGAGGGGTTTGCCAGGGAGACCGCAACTAGCCGACCAAGCGGCGTGAGTGTGGTGCGGTCTCGAAAGAAGGAGCGAAAAGCCCCCGAGTCAAGTGTGAAGGTGTGGGAGGCCGAAGCCGACGCGGTACCTGAGAGTGCAGACTCACCAGTACCGGAGGAAGCAGACGCACTAGCACCTAGAGCAGCAGCCTCCACCACCTCCGCTCCCACCGCCATCGCCGCCGCCTCCGCCTCCACTGCCGCCACCGACACCTCCACCCCCGCCACCACCCCCACCGCCACCCCCACTCCCTCCGCCGCCTCCACCGCCGCCTCCACCGCCCCCGCTAGCTCCTCCAGCGCCCCTGCCCCCCTTGCCCTTGCCAGAGCGGCGTCTCCCACTAGGGGTAGACGCCGCACCGACCGACTCAAGCCCAACGAGGTCGGCCGCAGCAGCAGAGGCAACAGAGGGCAAAAGGGGGGAGGGGGGAACACCCCTCAAAGATGGGGGTGCGCGGGTCACCACGAGAGGCTCCTACAGCAACTATGCTCTTCTCCGCTGCTAGGAGGGCCTTCTCGAGGAGGTCAACAGTGAGAGTGGTGGGACAGATTGAGAGAAAGTGGTCCCTGACTACGCGAAGGGAGTCAGGGAGGCGGGTGACTATGTAGTAGAGATTGATGTACATGGGGGGGGGGGGTTCTTGGTGCAGAACTCAGCAGGAAGCGCAACGCAGTAGCGAGTGTCACTAGTGCGGAGGTGCGTAATGAGGTCAGCGACTGTGGGAAAGGAAGCAAGTTCCGGGAAGAGGTACGATAGCATGAGGCGGCTCAGTGCAGCAGTGGCAGGGGAGGAGTAGCGTGCAACTACAGCGTCGTACAAGGTCTGAGCACTCTTGTAGTGACTAAAGTGCGCACGCTCAGAGGTAGGCAGGTGGCGACGCACAGCAAGACGTGCAGCAGCATCGCGCGTGGCTCACTCTGAGCGAACAGTGGCGTTAGCATCAACAGCAGGGGCAGGAGAGGCACCAGAGGTGAGGTCAAAGAGAGAGAGTCCGTCCGCCCTATCGCACTGTAAGAAAAGCTGCAGGTCATCTATCCAGACGTCAAAGTCAATGGCCCGACCCTCAGCGTCAAAAGCGAGGACACTAGGGGTATTCATGACAGCAGTAGACTAGCAGTGCAAACGGTAGGGTGAGGGCAGTGCAGTGACAGAGGCGCTGCTCTTACCAGACAGGGCGGCTCGGGCGGCTCGGCTACAGGGTGACTCGGCAGCTGGGCGGTAGGCGGCTCGACAGCTGGGCGGCTCTGCGGCTTGGCTGCTGGGCAGCTCGGCGGCTCGGCTGCTGGGCGGCTCGGCGGCTCGGCTGCTGGGCGGCTCGGCGGCTCGGCTGCTTGGCGGCTCGGCGTCTCGGCTGTAGGGCGGCTCGGCGGCTCGGCTGCTGGGCGGCTCAGCGGCTCGGCTGTTGGGCCGCTCGGCGGCTGGGCGGCTCGGGGGCTCGGCTGCTGGGCGGCTCGGCGGCTCTGCTGCTGGGCGGCTCGGCGGGGCCGCAAAGGAGGCGGTGGAAGGGCCGCTGAGAGGGCGGCGTCCGGGGCCGATGAGAGGAGGCGGCTGGGCCGCCGAGAGGAGGAGGCGGGGCCGCGGAGAGGAGGCGGCGGGGCCGCTGAGAGGAGGCGGCGGGGCCGCGGAGAGGAGGCGGCGGGGCCTTCGAGAGGAGGCGGCGGGGCCGCTTAAAGGAGGCGGCGGGGCCGCTGAAAGGGCGTCGACGAGGCCGCTGCAGGGGTAGTGGCGGGGCCGCTGAAAGGAGACGGCGGGGCCGCTGAGAAGGGCGGCGACGAGCCGCTGAAGAGGGTGGCGACAGAGCCGCAGGGAGGGCGGCGGCAGGGCCGTGCAAGGGCGGCGACGGGGCCGCTGGTGAAAGGGCGGCGAGGGGGCCGTAGGGGGAGAGCGGCGACGGGCCGCGAAGGGCGGCGGATCGGGGCCGCAAGGGCGGCGGATCGGGGCCGCAAAGGCGGCGGATCGGGGCCGCAAGGGCGGCGGATCGGGGCCGCAAGGGCGGCGGATCGGGGCCGCAAGAGGCCGCTAGGGGGCCGTGAGGGCGGCTAGGGCGGCGCGACGCGGCCGTTAGGGCGGCGCGACGCGACCGCTAGGGCAGCGCGACGAGGCCGCGAGGGGCCGCTAAGGGTGACGCGACGGGGCCGTGAGGGGCCTAGCGAGGGCACGACGGTAAGGAAAGCACACGAGGCGCGACTCGGGCCTAAGCGGAGCGCGCTCCGGGCAGGAAAAAAAAAATTCGTAGTGGTGGGCCCTAGGAATGGTTCCCGTTAGGGAACCTGCTCGATACCATGAGAAGAAACGAGAATGAATGAACTATGAATGAATTGGGTACAAGTACTAACCCTAATTGGGTTGTACCCCTTATGGGCTACCCCAATATAGCCTACACAAGATGCATGAGCTATAATGTTCTGACAGGTTCGTGGCCGTTTGCGAGTTGACTCGGCGTCGTTTTCGTGTTGGTTCGCTGAAACGACCATCAAATATTTCGCGATTTCGCGAAATTAACGAGCTTTGCACAAAACACAGCGAGTGTCGTAAAAGGGTTACTTTCGCCAACAACGGCCCGACGGATTTTCCCAAAATTTGTTGTGGCACGACTTTACATGCCCTTACGGTACGTACAAGCGGTTGAGCACGAAATTGTACACTTTAAAACGGTTTTCTCACCTTGAAGCTCCGAATCTCTGTTACTTACCAGAGCAGATTTTTGGGTTGCTTAGCAACCCTTTATATTTGGTTTCACATTTTTGGGATATCATTCAAAGAGTGTTATTTACGCACTTTTTGGAGCACTCGTTTGAATGTTTTGAAACTGTGTTCAAACAGATGCCTCAAACAGTGGATAAAAAACACTCTTGAATGAGATCCCCAAAACAAGTAAGCACGTACGTATCATGTTGAAACCATGAACTTGCTCGAGCGTCACAACCTCGTCGATAAATACGGCGGATTGTACGGCCGAGCATAATATTATGGCATCGACATGAACGAATGCAATTGTACAAATGAACAACAAGGTATGAGGTGGAGTGAATGCTTCAAAATGAATGTTAAAATGCATCATGCAGCAACCGAGGTTGATGGGATTGTTGAAACAGCAAAAACACGCTGCCCCAAAGACGATTAACAACCTCTAATTGCATACATAACGCATATTAACACCACACTTTGAAACACACATCCCACAAACACGAATGCAGACGCACGTAAAACCCCACAGTGAAATAAATACAATGAAAAGACATGAACACACACCCGCACAAACACACCCGCACCGCACACACATACATACACAAATAGGATTGAGAGCAGACAAGCATAACAAAGAGTTGCAATAAGTAAATTATGTATCAATCATTACTACCTTGTCCCCCCCTTACTCCCCCTTTCTGCCTTCCTTCCTCTCCCTCAACCATCGAATCTCCTCCCACCCTTTTCCACATTGTCTTCTCTCTCGATCCCTCCCTGCTCCCCACAACGCGTCTTGCGCACCTTGCAAAACAATCAGGTCAAGCAGAAAATGAATTGTAGTCGGAAAACGGATTTATGGCTCGGTGTGCAGCAAGGCTCCAGCAAGCAAGGTGACTTGGTGCAACGAGCTGGGCATCGCCATGCTACAAGGTGCCAGAGAGTTGCAGTAAGGCACTGGCAGAGGAGCAAGCGGGCTGCCGTAACAAGGCATGAGCTCACTGCAGCAAGGCGTGAGCTCACTGCAGCAACGCGTGAGCTCACTGCAGTAAGGCGCGAGCTCGCTGCAGCAAGGCGTGAGCTCGCTGCAGCAACGCGTGAGCTCACTGCAGCAACGCGTGAGCTCACTGCAAAAAGGTTGGAGCTCACTGCAACAAGGTTGGAGCTCAGTGCAGCAAGGCGTGAGCTCACTGCAGCAAGGCGTGAGCTCACTGCAGCAAGGCGTGAGCTCACTGCAGCAACGCGTCAGCTCGCTGCAGCAACGCGTCAGCTCGCTGCAGCAACGCGTCAGCTCGCTGCATTAACGTGTGACCTCGCTGCAGCAAGGCGTGAGCTCGCTGCAACAAGGCGTGAGCTCACTGCAGCAACGCGTGAGCTCACTGCAGCAAGGCGTGAGCTCACTGTGTTAAAATGTAGTAGCTGGAATGGATGAACTATGAAAGAGTTGGGTACAAAATGTGAAACCCTAATGGGGTTGTACCCCATCTTGGCTACCCCACTACAGCTTACACATATATGACATAAATATAATTGTCAAACTTATATGCTATAGTCTGTGTAGGCTGTAGTGGGGTAGATGATATGGGGTACAACACTTTTAGGTTTTCCTACTTGTACCCACCAGTTTCCTAGTGCATTCATTCCTCGTTCCTTCACATGGTATAGAGCAGGTTCCCTAGTGGGAACGTTTCCTAGGGCCCACCACGATCGATTTTTTTTTTCTGCCCGGAGCGCGCTTCGCTCCTGCCCGAGTCGCGCCCCGTGTGCCTGCCCTCCCGTCGCGTCCCCAGCCCTTAGCGGCCCGTCGCGCTCTCTTACGGCCCCCCCTAGCGGCCCCTCTCACGGCCCCTCGCGGCCCCTTCGCGGCTCCCTCGCGGCCCCTACGCGGCCCTTCGCGGCCCTGCTCACGACCCTTCGTGGCCCCTTACGGCCCCTCGCGGCCCCTTCGTGGCCCCTTGCGGCCCCTTCTAGGCCCCGTCGCTGCCCTTCTTGGCCCCGTCGCCGCCCTTCGCGGCCCGTCATGGCCCCTTCTCGGCCCCGTCGCTGCCCTTCGCGGCCCCTTCACGGCCATTCATGGCCCCTTCGCCGCCCCTAGCGCCCCCCTTCTCGGCTCCCTCACGGCCCTGCTGCCCCGCCGTCGCTGCCCCTGCAGCAGCAGTCGTCGCCGCCCTTCCAGCAACAGCCGTCGCCACCCCTGCAGCAGGAGCCACTGCCGCCGGTGCCACCGACAGCAGCAGCCGCCGCCGCCAGTGCCGAGACCGCAGCCGCCGCCGCCAGTGCCGAGACCGCAGCCGCCGACAGCAGCAACCGCCACCGCCACTGCCGGGGCCGCAGCCGCCAACACCAGCAGCCGCCACCGCCACTGCCGGGGCCGCAGCCGCCGACACCAGCGGCCGCCGCCGCGGCTGACAACAGGGGCCGCCGCCGCCGCCGCCGCCGTCCCGGCCCTGCCCTGTAGAGAGGAGCGGCACTCCTCTGCCGCCCTGTAGCGGCCCCGTCCCTGCAGGCGTGCCTCGGCCCTGCCCCACCACTTGCGGACCTCTACCCACCTGCCCTGGTAAGAACACCGCCGAGCCACGCCTCTACTGTTGCTACTGCTGCTACTGTTGCTAGCCTGCAGCCTGCTGCTGTCATGGCTACCCCTAGCGTTCTCACCTTTGATGCTCAGGGTCAAGCTATCGTCTTTGAGGTCTGGGTCGATGATCTACAGCTTTTCCTATAGTACGATAGGAAAGACGGTCTCTCACTGTTCGATCTCACGTCTGGCGCCTCTCCTGCCCCTACTGCCGATGCTGATAGCACTGTTCGCTCACAGTGGGCCACACGCGATGCTGCTGCCCGTCTTGCTGTCCGTAGTCACTTGCCGTCTACTCAGCGCGCGCACTTTAGTCAGTACAAGAGTGCTAAGACCTTGTATGACGCTGTAGTTGCGCGCTACTATTCCCCTGCCACTACTGCCCTTAGCCGCCTCATGCTGCCGTATCTGTTCCCTGACCTCGCCGCCTTTCCCACAGTCGCCGACCTCATAACGCACCTTCGCACTAGTGACACCCGCTACCGCGCTGCGCTTCCTGCTGAGTTCTGCGCCAATACCCCCCCCCCCCCATGTACATCACCCTCTACTACATAGTCACTCAGCTCCCTGACTCCTTTCGCTCAGTCAGGGACCACTTCCTCTCTATTTGCCCCACTACACTCACCGTTGACCTCCTCGAGGAGCGCCTCTTCGTAGCTGAGAAGAGTATAGTTGCTGTAGGAGCCTCTCGTGGTGACCCCCGCTCCCCCTTCTTTGAGGGGTGCTGCCCCTCCCCCCTTTTGCCCTCTGTTGCCTCTGCTGCTGCCGTCGACTTCGTTGGCATCGAGCCGGTCGGCGCTGCGTTTGCCCCTAGCGAGAGACGCCGCACCGGCAAGGGCAAGGGGGGCAAGGACGATGGAAGGGCTGGCGGGGGCGGTGGAGGTGGTGGTGGAGGCAGTGGAGGGGGTGGGGGTGGTGGAGGTGGCGGTGGAGGCGGCGGAGGGGGTGGGGGTGGCGGTGGGAGTGGTGGTGGGGGTGGGGGCTTCGGTGGCGGCGGTGGAGGCGGAGGCGGCGGCGGCGGTGGCAATGGGAGCGGAGGAGGTGGAGGAGGCGGCAGTGGCGGCGGTGGCGGAGGTGGCAGCGGCGGCGGTGGAGCTAGTGGGGGTGGCTCTGCGCAGCGGGGCGGCTTCGGTGGTGGTCAGCGTCAGCAGCAGCAGCGCACTCGTGAGACCCCGCCCCCTCAGTAGCTTCGTGAGTGGTACGCTGCGCGTCAGCAGGGTGGGGGTGCTGGTCCTTGTGCCTACGTCCTGCGTACCGGCGACCGCACTGGTGAGCCGTGCGGTGGCCCGCACACCACCCAGCGCTGTTTCGGCCGCCTGACGGACGCCTCGCGTCTCCAGTTTCCTGACGCCACTAAGATCCCCTGCTGGGGCGAGCTGCTTAGGTCGGGGGTTGCTATCTTTGATCTGGATTATGATGCTATTCTTGCTGCCATGTTTGTTGTGACTACTAGTGATGATGGTGACTGTTACCTGTGTGTTCCGCCTGACCCGGGCATTGAGGCTGCTGCTCTAGGTGCTAGTGAAACTGCTGCTCTAGGTGCTAGTGCGTCTGCTGCCCCAGGTACTGGTGAGTCTGCTCTCTCAGGTACCACGTCGGCTTAGGCATTACACACCTTCACCCTTGACTCGGGTGCTTCCCGCTCTTTCTTTTGAGAACGCACCACGCTCATGCCGCTTCGTCAGCCAGTTGCGGTCTCCCTGGCGGACCCCTCTAAGGGTCCTGTCCTTTCCAACTTCTCCACTGTCTTACCGTGTCCGGCGGCCACCTCTGGCACCCCTTCAGGTCTTTACCTCCCCTCGTTCTCTACGAACTTGGTGAGTGGTGCTGATCTACAGGATGGGGGGGTTGACCAGTTCACTCCTGCGAGTCAGCGGGTGACCCACTGTACATGTGCTCGGACGGGCCGACACTTGGCCACGTTTACCCGTCAGCCGGGGTCGAGCCTGTACACACTGACTACTGGGTCTCCTCCGGCTGCTGAGTCTGGTCAGGTAGCTGCGTCGGGTCAGGTGTTTGCTGCAGCGTCCAGGTCTGGTCCTGAGTCTGCCCCGTGCTCGTGTCGTCTCCTGTCCCACCAGACTCTCCTCTGGCACCACCGCCTTGGTCACCCCTCCCTGCCTCGTCTCCGAGGCATGGCCTCCCGTTACCTTGTCTCTGGTCTCCCCCGGTCCCTCCCTCCCCTACCTCCGGGGCCTGCCCCTAGCTGCGTTC